TCCAACTTAAGAGCGATGGCCTCCAACGTGCTAGGGGTGACATACACAAACCTACTAGCGATGGCCTCCAACCTACCAGCGATGGCCTCCAACCTAATAGCGATGACCAAAAGGTGCGGAACTGGACTCACAAGTCCAAGTGTCATCGGAGATCTTGGGCTGCGCCTGGCTTTGATCATATGCTGCATGGCATATAGCACCCAGCAACCGGTTGACCGACTGTGAGTGCCAGTGAGCTTAAGGAAAACATGTTTTGAATGAGCAAGAAACATGAAACACATGTCCTGTTTTGAAAACAAACATAACAAGCTTTCTTGCCTGTTGAAATCCCACAGCAATTCTTTTTCTCGGCACTGTCTGACTCTCCGTGGAGCTTTGCCCGCACTGAGGGTCCAAACAGTTCCCCGTTTGAGCAAATGCCCTCAGCCCGTTATTTTCTCTAATTAGAAAACAGCATGACCAGAAGCTTAGGACTTAATATGCCTTGTAGTAGGGGTACACAGAGCATCAATTGCACACGAAGTATCCTTTGGCGAGCATTCGCTGTCAGGGTTTTTGCTTGCTACTGCTGCCCACCTCTGATCAAAGTTGAGGTGAACAAAAATGTCTCATGCCTCCAGTGTGTTGAATTTGAAAGTGAAAATCAGCCACAATGGCTCTGGGTGTAGAGTCCAAATACACTTCTCGCCACTCCAATCTCCAGAGGCACGGGTTCGGTGCTAAAATCATTGGACCTATGGGAGACCTCCAAAAGTGCATATGAAGACTTGAGCCGGCTATGCTGCTATGCTGCTATGCTGCTGTGCTTTCTCCCAGAAGTCAAACACTTGAGCACGCGCACATAGTTCGGCCGCGGTCATCAGGTCATCTGCATTTCCTATATATATATATATGTGTGTGTGTGTAACATGCATTACTGGAAAACCGTTCATGCGCGCGAAGATTGGCGAGCTTTTCTGTCACAATCTTGACCTACAGCAGTATGAGTATGAGACGATATGAGGCATGACATGATCATTAGGGCAAA